TTATACGTGGTATGGCATTGTTTTCTTCCTCTGTTGAAGTGTTGTGCCTAGTATCAGAGAAAATGCCATCTTCTGCCATGAAAAAACGCCAAAATTCGTGTAAAAATGCGGCTAAAATCAGTCTTGGAATTGTTGTTCAAGTATAACAACGCCGAATTTTGTCAAAATGACATTAACAAAATTATGAAAAATTATGTCGAAAAAGATTGATTTAAAACCGCTTCATTAATGTTTCAAAAAAAAAAAGGCTGGTAAAAATGGCATATTTAAGCGTGCAGGGCTTGCACTGGAACTGGGTATCTTATGCCCCCTCACTCTTTCCTCCCGCCCGCGGCTTCTTGTTTCTGTTAGATATTTTTTAATATTTCTGTGTTGGTTTGGTAAAAAATCCATAACTCGGGAATTTCCGTCTTATTCACTTTTATGAATGCGGTATGGTAACAAACGTAAACAGTAATCACCTTCTGGTAGTACTTTTGATAGGTCCTTTTGCTTAGATTGCTTGCAAACAGACTAATAGCAGATTTTGTTCTTCTGGCATCTATCGTCATGGAGCTAGTTGTTCCACATGCATAGTTGAACCTTCGATCTCTTGTTTTTGCCACCCCTCCATGCCACCATTAACATGCGTATATATAATTGGGGCATGTTGTACGTTCTTTAAGATCCAGCTGGAAAAGAGCGAAGGAGAGGAGCTGGAATTCTATGACATTGAAAGCATAGAGGAATTTTTCGAAACTCCGCAATTGTCATTATCGAATGAACAACGAGCAACAGCTGCAGTACAGAAAAATGTGAGCAGTTTGTGTCATTCACTAACTAAAAAAAGCGAACCTTTTATCGTCAGCATCGTAGTGTTTCTAAGAGACAGAGGCATTCAAAAATAACTTATTCTTCAAGAAACATACGTACGGTTTAGTGGCTACGTTTTCCAGCAAATACAAGGTGTGCCAGTGGGAGGTAATGCTAGTCCGGATATTGCCGATCTGACATTATCAGTCATGGAGTACCGGTTTCTTCGTAGGAATCCCCGTACTCATCATCTCTTTCGATATATCGATGACATCCTTATTATTAATTGCGCCAACTTTGCTGAAATAGCGATTGACATTTATGGGCCCAGCTTGCAGCTCAACACCACCTACTCCGGACAAAGGGCTTGCTTCTTAGACCTCGAAATTTCGTGCCAACAGGGCAGATGCATCTTTAATGTATACAATAAGACCCTAGATTATCCTTTCACCATATATCACGGAGCTTATCCAGATAGTGATATGAACCAAACGGTGCAAGAAGGTGTCATTATTTCGCAACTTCTTCGTTATGCACGTATATGCACTCGTCCAGAAGGATTCCAACACTGGGCTAAGCCTCTTATAAGTATCTATAAGCATAAGAAGCTTGATATTGCCAGACTAAAACGTTCTGTTCTCAGATTTTGCTTCATGAACCGATCAGTACTGAGCAAATTCATCTTCCCTGATGATTCGGCAATTAAACGCCTAGTCAGCAA